TTAAAAGTAAAGTAAAGACAAACGAACTTCAATTCGCAATATGAAAGAAGACTTTAATTGTTCAGTGATCATCATTCAAGCACATTTTGGCTGTAAAATCAAAATGAACTCACCAAGATCAGTTCATAAGGGATTGGTATCTTCATTTTCAAACGTTTATTGACGAATGGACTTATGAAATCTTTCCCAACATACAAAAATAGAATGCCAATAGCCGATGTAATAACCGTGCACACATTCGCATGTGGTATTTGCAGAAGGATGTCGTAGAAACGCTGAAAATAACTACAAACAATTTAAATTATATAGAAATGCCACCGGTGTACAAATTCATATTGAATGAAACACGTTGATTGCTAGTTTTTCATTTAACAGAGTGCAATGCGATTATTAATCTCTTCTTAAACCTTAAACCTATTAATCTCTTAAAAGTTATCAATTTATGATACACACGACCGATTTTTGCTATCACTGATAAGAGATTGATAAAATTTACCCGAAATAAATAACCAGGCCCGCTCACTTTAGGCACATTCACACCTAGAACATCGTCGATTTGTGCGGCAAAAACGTGACATGCTGAGCCGGTGGTGAAACCGGCAACCAGCTGGTCCGAAAAATATGTCGTAACAAATTCCAGTCGTAGAAGACCAGTAGCGAACTAAAATCAATTTTCAAATATCTCTCCTCAAACTTCTTTCAGAATAATCGATCACTCGAAGATCAATCTATTACAAAACAAATGCAAATTGTTCCATACTTGAATAATTCCTAAGGTGAATGTCAGAGCTTGGGCGACAATAATCGGTGTTAATTCAACGGTCTGAGTGGACGACACAGTAGAATTAGTTGATGGTGTACTGTATGTGGACATAATTTGGTCATTGGCAATGCCTGACATTAATGCAACGACGGCAAAAGAGCCTGAAAATGCGATTCGGTAAATGTGACGGATTGAGGTTGGGTGATCCTGAAGTTGGATGTCTTTTATGAGTATTGAACACATCGAACAAATGCTTGACCTCTCCAATAACTTACGGACTGAGTTAGGACACAGCCGATAAGTTTTTACACTGTGATCATGGTCAGTGATCCAGCAGTGATCGAATTGAACCGCAGTATCGCCAGTTTTAACTCATACGTGAAGTTAAGATTCCTCTTAAATATGTGAATTGAAATGTAGATGTCTCACCTATAGATGTATGTCTTGAAGTACCGAATATCATATAAAATAGAGCTGGAAAAAATGACGAGTAGAGACCATAAACTGGCGCAACGCCTGATAGTACTGAATAGGCGATTCCTGAAAATACGCATTCAATTTCGACTGTCTTAAATTTCGTGAATAAAATTTGATTGCATCCTCATAACTCGACCGTTTTGCAATGGATCTTCTTCGAAATTGAATTGGTCTAGCATTCCCTCTATGCCATGGCGTATAATTCATGAAATGATCTGGTTGCAACAGTCTGAGGAACATAATTGTTGGTCAGGATGATTTACCTTGCGGAACATGCATAACTCCTGTGGTGAAACCACCAATGATATCCCGCAAAAGATATGCTTTCAAATTATATTTCGGTAACCATTTTACAATCGGTATGAATCCAAGCAAAGTTCCAAATAGTTTGTTGACACTTGCACAAGGCTGTGTACATTTTCGGAATACTTTCCTGAATTATTCGGTAGATTTGTGATCGTTTCGATCAAATACCTTCAAGTTTTTCAATTCCATTCAACTTTCGCATGGATAGCGAGAACTCATTAGTGAAAAATGCAAAATCATGTGCCTTTCATGAGGATGCATTCCATAAGAGAAAAATATTCTACTGAATATTTGAACTATCATTTTTTCTCATCATTTTTCTAAATTCCATTTTCTTAATTAAATTCTTAATTCACATCATATTTTTCTTAATTAAATTCCAGTTCTTGATGATGCGAAAGGAGGCTGTTGAAGAATTGATGAAAAAGAATTAACAATAAGCATTTTTTTCATTCAATGAAAGAATCGCTCATACAACAGTACTGAAAAGGAATCGCTCATTTAGGTTGATAGAATTGCTGATCAATATTTATTATTCATTCAAAAGGTCATTCATCAGTTGATAAGCTTGATCATTAAGCAAACATACGTATGCACAATTTATCCTTAGTACAGAACAATCTTTAGCAGCAGCAGTTAAAATTTGAGAACAAAAATAAATTTTCCCATGAAATACGTAACGAAAAATTTCCATGAACGCTCGATTATTTTCAAAACTGTTTCAAGCAATGAATTTCAATGAAACATACTTTCCCTGTAAGAGTAATCCAGCATCTTCTGTGTGATAACCATATTTGTTATCGAACTCTTCCTGAAATTCTGACGGATACAACATTTTCACTGGAACTGTCTCAATGAATTTTTTAGAAAAGAGACAAAACAAAATAGTTTCTCTGTTTNTTTAAAAAAATGTTTCTGTTTATTATAAGATTATTTCTAACAGATTATTACAATAAGATTATTATTGTGATAAGATTATTTCTAACAGAGCAACAGAATGGTTTCTGTTTCTCAGTTAGAAAAGCAGCTTTTCGAACTTTTTGACCTACAAATGCTAAAAACAATTCACTGAAGGCCACCAGTGATTGATAAATAATGTTTGGTCAATGAACTTGTTATTGATGAATCTCAATGAATACCCTATTAGCACTTCATAACAATACCAACAATCAAGTCGAACGATAAGAAGCTAAGAAAAGCTTTTTGTAATGCTTATTGTGGTTTTAACAGTGAGTATGAGAGCGATAATCAATAACCATATCGCAAAAAATCATTAATTGTAAATGAATGTTCAAAAATCAGCAATGCGATGATCACCTGGTTCATTACATTCCGTCGCAAAATTTTGAATTCTTCAGCCATATTTTTCGTGGAATTATTTTTTTACTATAATAAAAGAGGTATTGAATACAATCAAATTTTTCACTGAATACAATTGAATACGGATATTGAATACATTCACTAAAAAAAGTGAATAATTTTTACTAAAAAGAGAACACAATACGAATATTAAATGCAATCACGTGAATGAATTTGTGAGACGAATGAAATAATTTGCATATTACCAACTACGGATTCAAATTCATCACGGCCTACTATTATAATATGATTATCGAAAGCAGATGGGATTTCAAGCTTTGATCGGTTGATATTGAATAAAATTTAAATAACATTAATAATAACAACATCCTCCTGCTCGTAGTTTTTCTATCAAATCATACATTTACTATATGATTTTACCATACAACAAAAACGAGTACGCATCCGGAATTTCAACGTAATTCTCACCGAAATATTCCTATTCTTCTCCATCTCATTCAACCAAAGCAAATGAAACCCGCATGAAGTCTTCTCATCTGTATTTGTATTTACCATGATGGGAAAGCGCAGGAAATGATGAGCAGTCATAAACTTGCTTGGAAAACATTATGAAACAGACCACGAATGAAGGAACTTGAAATGAGGAACAAGTTATAAGATGCTATAAATAACCACTCTAATAGTAACGTGATAATGAAACAACTGAGTACATCAATAAGATCTTATCAGTCCGTCCAAAGCATTAAACAAACGTCATCGCACGATCTGCCGCATTCTTTACACTTTTCTCCGTTGACTATTATAAACATACTTTCAGACATATAATATGCAATGCATATGATGATAGAAATACGTTCAGTGTCAAAAAGTTCTTGAACAGTACAGTGCAATATCTCTTTTGAGTTATTCTTTTCTTTTATATCGCAAAATTTCTCAAGTGAAACGACAAAAACTTTATTTAATGATGCACTCATGCGGAGAATGTGGTTGACCTGCGCCCACGTAAAGAGCGAAGACAGGTTGGAAGGTAATCGCAAGGTAATCATGCGGAGAATACAAACCAATAATGAAAATTAGAGTTGAATGTTTCAAAATTATGACATTAACAATCTGATGAAAGATCTTAAATGAAGGTAACCGAGGGTAATTAACGATCTTAAAACGAAGGTAACAATCGTAAAATTGTCCGTTATTCCGGATCATAAACTGAAGGTAATTTGCAGTTCAATCCGTATTGCAAAAAACATCATCGTTATTCGATTTCAGTTTATGCAATCAGATATTCCGGATCGAATTCAATCATCAGAGATCAATCGTACTAGTTGGACTGATAGAGAAAGCTGCAGATATATACCTATAATATTGCTCAACTAGCAATTGCTGACATCATCTCATCGCAATTGCTTCGATATTGACGATGCTTTACGAACATTGCCTAAAGCAAAATTTTTACTTATTCACGGATTATTCTTATCAAACGACTCATAAATTACTCATAAACTTATCTTCAACAAACTCTGTCCCAGTGGCTATCTCATCGCTATGTTCACGTCTTTATTCATCCCTATAGGCTATGTGGCTTTTAGAAACTATTCTATATCCACGTGGGGCAATTTCTTGCTCATTTTCGTGACATATGACCTTAGAGTTCTACTTTGTGAAATGGAGGACAACATTAAGAAGGTCTCAGAAAAAATGAAGTCTGTAATTGAAATATCTCATTGTCTGCACGTCTCAGTCATAAAATGTTGATTTAAAAGTGTGATAATACTATGTACAAATAAAAAGTGAACAACACCTAACGAATGACTCATTTTGAAATTATGATATACTAGTCAAGTTCAAATTTCGATGCTGCAGGCAACGAAAATTGCACTGTTCTTCGATGCTTACAATAAGATGGAATCGGTAACGATTCAGCTTTGAGCAATGCTTTCCTCCGCGATTGGGATTTCGGTTTTACCCCGTACTTGTTTTCTATTGCTGATTATATAATTAGTTTGGTAACTAAAAGTAATGACCACATTTGTCCATTATGTTGTTTTACGCTGAACGAGAATAATGGGAATCAAAAATGCCTGTCTATGCTGTCTATGCTCATCATTTGAAATTCTTGTTCAAGTTCGAACGTCGACTCTCTGATCAAAAAATTTTCTTCAGCATAAAACATGTAAGCAATAATAAAATTAGTGCTTTGCTTGTTATCTTTATTGTCAGTGTTGAAATAAAATTGGGTTGAGAACATAAATTTTATTGTTCCATATCGAATTGTCCATAAACGTTGCTAAGACAACATAAAATCATTCACTTGGTAATTCATAAATTATTTTTAACTGGTATTTTATCTTGGTTGATATGTGAAGCGATATTATACAAATGATATTGCGCCATAAACGCCCAGTACAAATTCATATTCTCAACAACGTAAGAAACCACTTTACCATCAATTAAGAACTATTAAACTGCCACAGTTACCGCTTCTGGATCATTTCAAATGTTATTATTAATAACAATCTGTTAATTTTTATTCATTATGCTCCCATCCAACGTATTGATTTTGGTAACTCTCAAGCAAACCACTGAATCGTTTGTTGACCGACTAATGCGATCATTCTCATTAATATTTTCAAAAACGTATTTTTTGTAACACTGTGCTTCTTGATTGATATCGCCGATTCAATTATTTAATTATTATAATTTATATTGTCAGTATCCATACAAAAGTTTTTTTTTTCAATTGCTTTCGAACAAATTTCTTCGGTGGCACATTTGATGTTCGCAAATCTAACGATCCTAATAAGCTCATAAGTCAATCAATTCACTTTACTGAATCTAGCACAAACTTCGATGATTTTGTCGAGACTCTCGCATTCCAGTTGCTTTTTGTGCTCTCTTCTTGTCACCAATCATTCACAATTATCAAACGTCTGCTAAACTTTTACTGCTGTTCCGCTCTTTTCTCAATAGCAACTTTAAAATTTCATTATATTTTGCACTATAATGCGGAAAATATTCTGCGAATCGCGCTGACGATGAGCTTATAGTCGTGAAAATTCATTTCTATACATTGTTAATTTCAAGCAACGTTAATTTCTCAGTCTGATGCTATGCCTCGCATTTTGGAGTTGGATCATGGCCTGTGTAAGCGCATTTTATGTGATTTGACTGATCATTTCGTTAAAATACATGTCGTTTCGCACGTTCTTTTCAATCTTATCACATCACGATAGCTGTTATCATCCACTGTTATCATTCCATAGTATCCCTAAAAAGATGCAGTTTTTTTCGATTTTGAACAGTCCCCAGTCTTTGTCGTCCCAGATTAGTGGTTGTTCTGTCCACACTAATGCTCAGGTTGCTGTTTCGTTCGGTCATATACTGAATCAGCCCTGTGAGAAAATGGAGAATATCATGTGAAGAAGAGTTTCACTTCAATGCACAGATTTCATTTCATATCATAGGTGTCGTTGTTGGTTTCATGATTATTACTGTTATAATTCAAGTTATCATTAATATCTTCATTGCCATTATTGTTATTTCTNAAAAAAAGGCTTTTCTAAACCTGCTTTCAACTCGTTTCTGAAAATCCACGGCAACTAATGGTGCTGTCTTTTCAGCACTCTCCACTTTCCATTCTCATTTGAATATCCAAAATGTTTATCAGTTCCACCACTGCTGTATTTGTTTCATTTTTGGATTTACATTCGCGCAGCTAGGACGAAATATCGTTCCGATAAAGTTTTGTTCTGATGAATGCCTGATCAATTTAGTCATTTTCGGCACAATCGCCAGTGCATGCATCATCCGATTGCTTGTTCATTGGTTGATCTGCTCATCTGTTCAATAGATTCGATCAAAATACACTTTTCGTCCATTGCCAATATTCACGTGATTTTTTCATGTTCACTATGACAACCGATGTCTACAAGCTGAAAACACAAACTCCTTACAAGGGATTAGGAAACAGAAATCAGATGCGAAGGAAATGGCAAGTGAAGAAATCGATTTTGCTAAGAAATTGTTTCAATAAGAAATTCCCCTGAAACTGTTAGCTTATCGTAGAATTACATGAGAAATTCTGGTTGTGAAATTAGATTTTTTGATGGAATTTCATCAAGTGCTCATTATCGTCAATGGGGTGTTCCTAATGCTCAGCATAACAATTTCTATCATTTTTTAAATCTTTCCTCTCTCGTTTTCTCATCATATTTCTCTTACGATTAGTTGCCATTTACATTTTGTGTTGCATAATGTTGGTTTACACTCTTGCCGAGCCAAACACTTGAAATGTCTTTTCTTGCGGCATATATGCAAACTGTTCCGTGATGGTTTCCACGGTGTGCAAAGGATTTTTCAAATTTCTCAACAAAATTTTACGTATGAAACAAATAAGCTAAGCTAGCGAATATGAAATTACATAATTTTCAAATATTCATTTGGGTTTAAATGTATACTATGGATTAATGATTCAGCAGATATTGATTTAAAATCCTAGTTGAGTTCAGTTTGATCATACGAAACGGTTCGTTTTTACGAGTACTCTTGCGTTATTTTCTTAAACTGAGCAAAATCTCATCTCATCTGGAGATGAACTGATGTTGAACGCAATATTTGTGAAGTGCTTGAGACGAAGAATATAATATATGTCTGTTCGTACTTAAATTTGTCTACTCGTATTTAAGTAACAAGTGAAGAATGTACTCATGCGCGTACATGGCAATAGAGCGAAAATGACTATGCTCGCTGGAAGCCTAAAACAAATCTATCAATAAGCAAGCCTAAGCACTTAAAGTCCGCATTCATTGCCGAGCAAAAATCAGTTATTAGCTTGAGCTGAACTCATAGTCAGCTAAAATCGCAAGTGTCAAAATCGACGAACATCTGGAATTAAGCATGTAAACTGCTGAGGCTTCGAGAGCGTTAGCGCTTCTATACGAGTTAGCTTAACTGCTTAGCATTTATACGTCCACATAGCACACTGCAATAATCGATTTTACTAGTTCGCTTAACTGCTAGAGCATTCGTTGTATAAAACTAACAATGAAACGGAGAAGAGGAGAAGCATCATTTGAATTTTATGTATATAACATTGCAATGAATCGATAGGTAAATATGTGCTTCTTGCTTTAGAGTCATTCCTTTGAATTCATTAGGTGAAAGTCAGCTCCTTGCTCAGCAAAGCTACCTTTGTACTTATCGTTCCGAATCCTCGTGTTAAATCTGCCAACTAACGTTAAATTCCATCATTTCAACTGTTCATTTTGTTGGTATTGTTTGCATCGGTACATAGCGTGTTAGTGATTGAATGTTGATGTCTCAATTTCTCGTACCAGGTCGTTTAAAAATTTCAAGGAAGCTTGGCTATTGCTGTATCATCGCCTATAAGTTTGTATAGACCGAATGCATAAATCCGGGCTTAACTGTGAGCTCTGAAGCTCTGGTTCGAGCGTGATTCTGAGTTTGAGCTTTCTTGAGTTAAGCAATGAAGTGGACATCTAGAATGGTCTTGTTAACAAAACTTCCTCAAATCGGTTATAACTCAGTGATTGTATNACTATCACTGCAAATCATGATAAAGTTCTATTGCAATCTGATCTGTTGTTGTTGTTGTTGTCGCTCATTTCTGTCTGTCGTACCTTACAATTGGATGAAAAAATTCTGCACAAGAAATATGCAAATGCAAATCAGCGGGAGTACTGAATGAAAGTGAAGGAATGAGTAACATCTCATGATATGATGTAATATCAACAACTGACACTTTGATGTTTCCAGCGAAGGAGCATAGTTTATGAAAGATGATAGACAGATACTCACTGATATCATCAAAATATGTGATGCGGAATTCTGGTTCGAAATTGAGGCGTTGTTTTGAAGGGGTGGAAATGTTTTAATACTAATAACACAATGTTTGTTGAATGATAGTGCAGTGTTTGTTCATAAAAATGTGTGGGATGGAAACCGGATACAAGCTTTTACATGCTCTCTAATGAATATTAATTGAAGAGATTCTAAATGAATGTTGTTAATTTAACAATTATGTTTACATATAAATTGCGCACACTGAGATGATCGCCGAAGAAAGATAGCGCAGTGCACAATTCGTTTATTGCTATTGATCAGCGTTTTGCGTTCATCGATTGATTGATTGATTGATCGAGTTGTGTGATCATTGTAGCATATCGAGCAAAATCATAATTCGTGTTTCATGATTCATTGAAATGATGGTGTTTAGAGTGATTGCTAAATGATCAGTTATTTGTTTGAAAGAAAATTTAATCACCGCAAATTTTTATTGTTTTTTTTTTCTGTTCATCTGTTCTGGAAGCAATTCCGTCTCAAGGTTACTCGTTGACCTTTGGTCATCAATATCTCACATTTGTTCATTAATTATGCATTGGTCGTGAAATGTCAGGTCGAGTGATTCACTTCTGCAACTGCAGCGGAACATTTTCATTGATATTGGGAATATTTTAAGTTCAAGGAACATTTGGAATAATTATTTCGATATGAATATGTGAATGTTTCCGTGGCAGTTTCAAGTTCTTGTCTGTTCACTGTTGATAATAACCGCGAATACATTCTATAAAATTTTGATAACTCATCCACAAATTGAGAAATCAGAGAATAAACAATTGATAATGTTTTCTGAAATCTGTTGAGCAATTTTCATTATTCTATCCCACCCCAAACTGAAAAGAATCTTGGGTTGATTCAATTTTGAAGATTCGTAATAACCATTTGCTCGATTTATATTCATTATTCAAAGGAGAATGCCATCAATATATCGCAAGAAATACGTAATGAACTCAGAGACTGAATTTAGAGATTCGTAGAAACTTAGAGATTATGGAACTTTCAGGATCACGATTAAATCTTCTCATTAACACCGACATCGCTAATAAATCAACATAGCCGACGATTCTATCCGTATTCATTAACGTAGTAATATTTATTTACGAACAAATATATGTATTTGTTATCAACAATAACAGTAATAATTGATAATAAGTAACAGTAATAAGTAACAAAATGGTATCACTACGTAACGCTATCGTTGGATTTACACGAGCCTATCGAACGCTCCTTAAGAGTTCGTTGTATGTAAGTGGTGGCCTAGTTACGATTGCTGCAGGCCTTTATTATTTCGATATTACCAACGAGAAACGTTTCAAGCGAGCATTGGTACGTTTGTTACTATTCATCTTACTATTTTAACTATTGATCCTGTTTTTCAATTGTTATTAAGCTGATTATAATTGACCTATTGTGAGCGTAACTGCTTTCGTTTTCAACTTTACAAATAATCAAATGTCAAAATTTTCAGCAAAATCATTTCAAGACAGCACATGCAGATATACTCGGTGAATTGAACAGAAGGCATTCAAGTGCACTACCTACTCGAGCTGATCTTCTGAAGGTTTACAATGTTTCATTCTTCCATTCCAAATCTTACCACCATTACTCCTGTTTCTTTATGAATTGTTTGTTCAATTAGTTTTCAAAGTTGAGAGCTTTTCAAATGCTTCTTTTGATGATTTAGCCGTATCGAAGTTATTCAAAATAAGCAACTCTGTACACTCATAACAATAATAGTAACAATAATGATAATTATAATTACAGTCATTAAAAGATGACGAATTCGATATACTCGTTATCGGAGGTGGTGCCACTGGCGCCGGAGTGGCTTTGGATTCACAAACTCGAGGTGCTCATTCATAATGGTTGTGATAAAAACAATACGAACTCAGAAGTTTTATCATTCCATGGCTATAGATGAAACAATTCAGGTTTAAAGACCGCATTAGTTGAATTGGACGATTTTTCGAGTGGTACAAGTTCACGAAGTACGAAGCTGATTCATGGTGGTGTACGATATTTACAAGCTGCCATATTTGGTTTGGATTTGGAGCAGTATAGAATGGTACGAGAGGCTTTATTCGAACGTGCGAACCTTTTGCATTGTGCACCGCATCTGTCATATCCTCTACCTATAATGTTACCTATTTACAAGTTAGTCCGTTTATCCATTTATAAGTTTACCATTATACTTTGTTATTTTCTTAAATGATTATTGGGTTATATGAACTGTAATGATTGCTTTTTTGGGACTTTGATGAATTTTACATTTCAATTTTAGACTCTGGCAAGTACCATACTATTGGTTCGGTATTAAAGCGTACGATTTCGTTTCTGGTAAAAGAGTGCTGAAAAATTCTTTCTATATTAGCAAAGAGCAAGCTCTCGAACGTTTTCCGATGCTTAAGAAAGAATCACTAAAAGGAGCACTAATCTACTATGATGGTCAGTTTGCGATCACGGATCATGTCGAGTGTTTTGAATAACTTCAAATTATACTTTTCTAGTAAAATAATTACAAATAAATTCATATATGGTACAAAGGAATATGAATATCAATGAATGATGTAAATCATTAAGGACAACACAACGATGCACGAATGAATTTGTCGATAATCTTATCGGCCATAAGACACGGTGCGAAAGCGGTAAATCATACGAAGGTGACGCAATTGCTCAAAAATGCTGAAGGAAAACTGTGTGGAGCGCATGTGAAAGATTTGGTCAGTTCGATCGTTTCCTCAATGTGTTTTGAGAAGGAATTCTCAAATGATTTGAAAATTTGATGATTTGATACGGTTGCGAATGGAAAACTGTGAGGTTGAATGGAAGACTTGGGGTTAACATAGCGATTCTTTACTTGAATCGGTGTATTGTATGTGTCTATGTTTGGGATACCTTAGTTTATGGAAAATGTGAGGACTATCGGTGATCTGCCAGTCACGCATGTGAACATATTCATATGTATTGTTCATCCTGTGAAAGCTCGAATAGAGTTCAGAAGTTTTTAGCTGACCGGACAAGAGTGGGATGTCAAGGCTAAAGCGGTTGTTAATGCAACCGGTCCGTTCACTGATTCCATGCGTATAATGGCTGATCCGGAGACTAAACCCATTTGCCAACCTTCGGCCGGTGTTCACATTGTACTTCCTGGATACTATAGGTGAGAGATTCGCTTCGAAACGGACTGTTGCTTAGCAGGCTGCTTAAACGATTCCATCAGCTTTTCAATAGTGGGCAGTTTGTACTTGAAGGAATGAGATGCTACGAGAAGAATGAATTTTTGAGAGAATATGAAATTCAGTCTGTGCATTGTTTTGGAACTTCTTACAGAGTAGCGTTACCTCATAGGCCTTTCAATCGTAATTCAAGCAAAAAAGTTTCATTGGAGAATAATTTCCGTTTTTTTTATTCAGCAGATCAGCACCAACATCTGATCAGTCAGATGTGATACATTCAAAATTCGCCTCTGATCATTCTTAGATGAAGAATTCGATTGTATTATTTCGATGGGTAACACCCAGAAATTTTGAATGGGAAATTTTTGATAGCAAATCAGATGAACGAAGCTTTCGAATTTAAGTCCATCGAATACGGGTTTGCTTGATCCGTCGACAAGCGATGGTCGTGTGATCTTCTTCTTGCCATGGGAACGAATGACCGTAGCTGGCACCACGGATGCACCAATGCCAGTCACGTTCCATCCGAAGCCATCCGATTTGGACGTGGAGTTCATTCTCCAAGAAATTCGTCATTATTTGTCGAATGACGTTAGTGGTGAGGCGTTTTATGATCAAGAACATTTATTATTCATCTGGGCCAGATTTTTATTCCCAGTCAACCTTCATATTCATACTTGAGCGTGAACCTGAGCCTGAGTCTGTACTAATTTATGATGAGATTCTATGCTATTGTAAGTAATGGTTTTATCGTCACACATCAAACGGTTTCAGTTCGACGTGGCGATGTGCTAAGCGCATGGTCAGGTCTACGTCCACTGGTTCGTGATCCGAATAAAAAGGACACAAAATCGTTGGCAAGAAATCATATTATTGAAGTATCAAAGAGTAATCTAATCACTATTGCTGGTTAGATTTTGATTATCAATCGAACACGATTCCACTAGCGGATTGATAATTTTGATTCAGTGCTTTACGTTTAAATTCGAAGTATTTATATTTGTTAAATTGAAATTTTGAAGGAGACATGAATATGATAATGATGACAGTGAGAGTCATGATAGTGATAACAATAACGATAATTCAAAGGTGGTAAATGGACAACGTACAGACACATGGCTGAAGAGACCGTGGATGCGGCCATCAAAGCTTGTGATCTGAAACCACGTAATGGATGCGTTACGGCTGGTCTATTGTTGGAAGGTGCGCACAATTGGGATCCTCTTCTCTACATTCACCTCGTGCAGGATTTCGGCCTTGAAGAGGATGTAAGTTTGAGTTAATGTAGAAAATTTCATGAAAGATATCAAATCTTCCCATTTTTCCGAGCGAAATTGCAATGTTCAAAGAAACTTCTACTATTGCAAGTAAAAAAATATGAAAAAAAAACTTAATCTTTTTCGATTGAGAAATATTTAGAATTAATGATAAAAAATTGAAATTGTGTGATATTTTTGAAAAAGAATCGAGATAATAGTCTGAAATTGCAGATCGCACGACATTTGGCAAGTACTTACGGTGATCGTGCATTTGTGGTAGCTCGTATGAGTAAAATGACTGGCAAAAGATGGCCGATCGTTGGGCATCGCCTCCATAACGAATTTCCTTACATCGAAGCCGAGGTGATTCAGTCAAACCTCGCTTAATTTGTCGCGTGTCGATTCGTTTATCTGATGTCATCCACTGGAAATTTTTTACATGATAGCCAGTGATGTGATTCATATGATTAATAACAAGACATAAGTTGTTATTGGAACGTCTCATTAATTTTACGGGCAACTTCCATACGAATACCATGGGGAATTCCATTTTTTTAAACCTTCACCATACTGAATGAAATCTTGCATTTAGTCTTGCTAACGAACAGTATTGAGTTACACAAGTTTATGAGAATTGCCGTGGCAATGAACGAGGCACTGCGATTGGATTTTTCAGTTGCACTTTCTAGTTTCCAACTGAGATTTTATATCAGGCGATTTAAGGGTTTAAGGCTGGTTTTAAGTAATTTGACTGCAACAAAAAAGAGTTTACAGGTGAGATACGCGATCAGAGAGTATGCATGCACGGCGATTGATGTGATTGCGCGACGTACACGACTGGCATTCTTGAACACTTATGCGGCACATGAAGTACTCAATGAAGTTGTCGACATAATGGCGAAGGAGTTGAACTGGTCAAAAGATGAACGAAAAGTATGTGCATTAACCAGATCTAATCAAAATAAAACCAAAAAATTTTCGTTCAATAGTTCAAAATTTGAGATTTTATTCGAGTGGCCAGAAACATCGTTCCATTAAAAGCTTAAACATTTTGGGGAAGTTTGAAATTTTCAGCGTTTTTTGCGTAACATTTTCATCACTTTTCATAGATTCCTCTTTTTTTTNGATGTCGTAGAATGAGAATTTTACAGCGGCAATTCGAAATGGCACAAGAGTTCATCAACGTTGAGATGGGTCAGAATGCCCGAACGCAGTCGCTTTCTGCAGTTGCGTTGAACTTGACTCACGACGAGATGGAGGTTGCGAAAGAGCGCTTCAACGTGCTCGATAAAGACGGTAAAGGACATATCACTGTGAATGATCTCAGAAGTTACTTTAGAGTCAGTCTGATTTTTAATTCGCTTTTTCATTTTATATATTTTAGTTGCGTGTTTGGAGAGTGTTTTCGTTTAGTACATTATATTATATTAGCATTCATTGATTAACATTATTATTTGGTTCAGTTCATTTTGGTTCGATTATTTTAATCATTTGATTTGACTTTGAAAATTTTTCAGATAAATCTGCATCTGCTGTTTAATATTATTATTGCCCAAAAGATTATTATTTTTATTATCATCATTGTATTGTTACTATCACTATGAGTGATACTTGTCATTTTTGCATGACATTTTTAAATTTCTGCATGAGTCATGAAATTCATTCGATTAATTAATGCAGAAGTGCTGATCGTTAAGAAATGGCATTTCAGAACCATGGTGAGAAACTCGACGAACGCTTATTGCATGAATTGTTGAATGAAGTTGATTTAAATAAAAACGGAGAAATTGAACTGACCGAATTCTATCAGGTTTGTACACTTCTCTTTTGAGTGAATTTCAAGTAGATGATGATTCCGTAATGAAAGGTTCTTTCCTGCAATACAATAACGATGAAACAATTATCCAAATCATCGCTTGTATTGATAACATTAAGAATATTGTTCATATCGCTCTATTATTATCGTTGCTGTTGTTTTACAGTTATACAGTGGACTTAAAGGTGGACAAATTGTGCAGAATCGATTGGCGCGTTACCTGGATGAATTTCAGAGCAAATCTGCAGTGTCAGTTCATCGTTCTGGTGGAGGAGTTTAGTCGTCGATCCGTAACTAATCCAAATTAATCATAATATCTTATTAGCATTAACTTATTAACAATTCTAATCGTATTGGTGACTTTGTCGCTTCTAATGGATTCAGTTTTTTGACTGTGACTGAGAATCGCTTAAAAGATTATTCTGGCGATTCATAGCATAGATTTTCAAGAGGATTATGGTGAAAATTTTGCGATTATTCATACATTTTATCAAGAAACTCCTTGAAGGAAGCAAACGCTTTGATTAGTTTTAACCATTTTTTTAGTTTGTTTATCGTAGAATTTTTGTTTGTTTATTTATCGCAGCAGCTTAAGCCTTGTCCTTCTCGCTTCCGTCAATGAAAGGGAAGGCGAGTAAATTTTACTTGACGCGAAGGTCTAACTTATACTCAGTTGGTACAAATCGCTCATAGATAATATGATTCATGATGATTGAATGAATAATACTTTCAGAGTTTTTATAATCGTTTGTTGTTTGACTCATTTTTGGCTTACTTTTTGTTCAATTTTAATAAATATTTTTTTAATTATTCAATTTGAGTGTATGCGTGTTGATTTATTTGTAACGGTGTCAGAGCGTATGATTTGGTTATTTGTAATTGCCAAATTAATGTTTTGATTAACTTTAGTCACCATCGTTCATTTATAGTCTCTGCTTTCAAGTACCATTGAGTGTTATTGTTCTGTTTATTTGCGTTCTTTTGATTGAGTGTCCTCTTCGCTGTGAGCTTAATGAAGGAGCAAATGATTTTATTTTACTTTTGTTTTTTTGTATTTGATTCAACAAACACATTTTTTGAAGCAATTATCAACGAAAAAACAAATTATCAACAATACTTGTTGATAATTTGTTTTTTTCGGCAATTTGATTAGGCTAGTTGAATATAGGGTATGATTCGTTTTTGCTAGAGGCTAAAGGCTTTTTCAGTCTTTATCTGACTAATTGCTTACTTAATTGAAGTTAAGAAAGCGCCTTCGTTGTTAATTTTTGATGATATCACGATTGTTTCAGTTAGAATAGCAGGGGTCGTAGCGGGTATAGTTAGAATTGTAGCTGGAAAGTTGCGGTGGATTTTGTTGATTTTCATTTTCTTGATTGCATTTACTTTTTACCAAATTCTAATTTTAACATTAGAAATGTGGTGATTGTTCAACGTTTTGTGTCTTCTATTTTATTTTTTNTTTTTTACCACAAAATTTTCATTTCTTCACTGTTCTTTCCGCTGTGAGCTTTATGATAGAGCAAATGATTTTATTTTAGTTTTGTTTTTTGTTTGTAAGTCTCTGATTAGATTTCTTTTAGTATTGTTAGTGTGTTAATAGGTAGAATATTAACCGTTCCAGTGTTTCTAATGTTCGTCATATTTCCTAGTCAGCTCTTATCTGAAGCACGTCAGATTGTGACGATTCGATATTCGATTTGCCATGAGATCATGATGTTTTGAGGGAAGGTGGAGTGATTGGAAAATGGCATTCGAAGATGAAACAAGTGATTATTTACGAGATATTTTTCGAGGACGTACCTTTTCCTTCCTTAAGCTTCGACCCGTTAAGATAATATTACAGTTTTCACGGTGTGAAGACTATACGCATTGCATATAGATTACTTTCTATAATGTAAATTCCCTCGTTAAGGACATCGTAATCTCTAGGAAAACGTGCACCGTTCGTATTCTGTTGTTATGTCGAATCGCCTGCTGAGGAAAATGACTCGAGCGAGTAATTTCTGAGTGCCCTCATTTGGAGGATATTCATTTTTCACCTTTATTTCCTCAATATAAACCAATAATGAATAAAGTTTTTATATTTATTTTCCCTCTTTCATTTTAATTGTTTCTGTTTTCAATGGCGACGCAAATAGTAGAAGTCTTCTGAAATGTTCGACACGGCNTTTTTTTGGAATTCAGACGGATGATAGTCAACTTTCAGGGAATTAGAAAACGAGATGAATATCCTGCCAGGTGATAGAGATGAATGTAAGAAGGCACGAAAATGTTTAGGGAAGGAAGACTATCGAATTTATGAGCTGCCATGTGACACTGAAACATAGATATGGTGGCGAAATATTCGGCGAAAGATTGAACAAAACAAAAAGATTTTTCTGTAATGATCATAGATCAAATACAGTTGATGTGAGATCAGATATAAATGCGATTTCATTTGTTTATTGTTCTTTTTTGATGCCATCATCAAATTTTTCGAATAAATTCCATTGTTCGTTGAGAAAAGTCTTCAGGTGAACATACGAAGTTGGTTCTCACCATTGTTCTCGTTCTTCAAATTACGCCTCATCATCGAAAAAAGAAACAGTTTCTATGAATTTCAAAGCATTCATTCTTTTAGTAACTAACAAGGTAAAAGTTATGACTGTCATTAACCGTGTCGTTAGCACGTAGTCATAGTTGTGCACTGATTATGTCATTCGCTTTAACGTTATCAGTTTCGATTTGTTAAGGGCTTTATGAGATGAATGGCATGCAACACTCGACATTTTTACATCTTATTTCTGTTTTTACATCGTTAGTATTGCGAATATTCATTGTTACTATTGCTAATGTTCATTGTTAAGAAGCTGAAAATATTACTACATCTTATTTCTGTTCTAATCCATAAAACAGGATTTCTCAACCAGAGCGCTCACACCCCCGAAGGATGCGTGATGGTATTTCAGGGGATACGAAAGAAGGTTTTGTTGTCTGCTCAACAATCATAAAGAGTACAGCAAAAGCTAATGAAAAATCTATCAAGAATCAAGTATGTATATTAAAACAACTGCACTCTAATTTATTAAACTGCGGAAACTAGAGCTCAAC